TAAGAGAGAGAGAGAGAGAGAGAGAGAGAAATTGAAAGATTCAAGTAATGTTTAAAAATCTAACAAACAAGAACACTCCTAAAAATTCTGTTCTAAAAAATAAATATTTTTGAATGCTATTTGAAAAAAATATTGGGAATTTCCAATCACGCACATTTTTTTGCTGTTCCCACTCATCAAACTATATATGACAATATGCCCTAGCACATGCTTATATACCAAATGCACCAACAAACATAATAAATGAGCCTAAAAAATTTGTATAGAAAAAATGCCTCAAGTTTCAAATAGCAAAAAACGAAACAAAACACGAACATAAAATATCATTTGCTGTTTCAAATAGTGAATCATAGTAGCGTTTACCGGTGTTTACAACAACAGACTGAGAATAAAATGGTCCAATTTCATGGAAGTATTTCAACCCAGTCCTTGTAATTCATGCAAAGAGGGTTGCAAGCGTTGGCAAAATATAATACATAGTAAGGCAGGTTTTCAAGTGGGGGCAAGAGAAGGATCAAGGTCCTGATATCACCTAGCCTTTCTTGAAGTTTGAACACCACACAAACTGGCAGATTGTCACTCCAACTCAAGGAAGGCTCAGTACAACTCATCTAGGCTCAATACAACTCATCTATCTTCTTTCCCCACAACTAAGCTGGGGTTATTTCTCTTCCCCTTGCTTCAGGGCAATCTAACACAAAGAATACAAGTCTTCTGCATGTTTGTTACAACTTGCCACAATATCATCGAATCAACATGCACACTCATGCTTGAACAACAAACCAAGAACAACAAAATCACAGGTAGGAATAGGGACGGCCAACATCACACACATGCAAGCACACACTTCACATTTACACTTGCACACATGAATGTACAAGCACACAAACATTCGTTTTTTTCTTCTAGATTTCAAGTACAATACAATGAAATATAGCAACTGTCACTGAAATCAGTAACTCCCATTTTCTTATAGGTATCAGAAATGTGAAAGGGGCTGATGAAGCTCAAACTACCAATGAAAGGATTTTATATCTTCACTGTATGGATGTCAAGTCTTTCAGTGTGAAATTCGTGATGAATGCATCCAGTCAACAAATTCTACAGATGTATTCCAATAGAAGTCCACTATATGGGGCAAGTTAATCCTTCTCCCATTTGTAGTACATGAAGCTTAGCAATCCTGCTGCTCTATGAGCTCTACCTGCTACTAGCTATGCATGGACAAATCAGAGATCGAAGTGTGACAATATCACATTCTCTTCCTACTTGTTTCCTCTCCACTGGTCGAGTCAATTTTCAACATCAGTGTAGGATGTGCATAAACAAATACCATCAGCAAATCATGAACCACTTTTCAGCTTGAAGCGATCAAAAAACTGTAGGTACAGGTTAAAATGAGTAAATACACAGAAGGCCCCTAGTAGCCCAAACCAAATGCTAGCCACAACTACTTATTCTTACCAGAAATGAATACTGGAACAGCCAGCCAAGAATTGGAATGTGGCACAGGAAAGCCTTACAAGCTGGCCAGAAACCACTGCAAAAATAATGGAAGATAGGATTAGGACCTTTAGATTTGATGGGATGGTTCAGCAATAAGCAGCTTATAGAATAAAACCTGACCTGAAGAGAACGATAGAGCCATATGATTCCAGGATGACCCCAACTATAGGCCAGCCGATAAATATGAGGAAAAACCCAACAAGGAAGGATACTGATCCCTGCAAAGAAATATAAAACAATTACTAGAATTGCCCAAATTATAATAAAATATTCCACTTCGTGCCCACATAAGTTTAATAGAAAGTTCTATGTTTTCTTTAGGTTGGTGCGTAAATATTTACCCAGGAAAAATATTTAAAATACTAACGTATGTAAACACTTCACACGAAAAACTTTTGCAAACTTTCTTTTCACCATATTTGTTAACATGTTTAAAAAGCACTGTGTAATGAATTACATATGTTTTTGTAACTTCTTGGGTATTTAAATATATTTTGTAAATATATTAAATCTATACATGAAATATTTAAATATTACAACTAAAAATATAGAGTTATATTATTTAAATACTATTTAAACATTATTTAAATATTATTTCTATATTTAATATAAAACATTTTGTAATCATTTAAATATTATTTTAAAATTTTAAGTATAAATATTATAAAATATATTGTATTGTAAGTGCCTATTCCATATATTAAAATATTATATACTAAATAATTTAAAATATTAGAAAATATATTATAGATTATATAATAAAATATATATTATGTAAATAATTATATTATATAAATATATTATATTACAGAAATATATGTTATATATATTATACTATATTATAATAAACAAATAATATATATAACATAATAATAAACAAATAATATATATAACATAATATAATATATAATATAATGAATTTTAAATTTATTTTATTAATGTATGTTTTTTTGAGAATCTGTTAACTTTGTAAATGAAGAAGAATTATATACTATTTAAGAGAGCTAAAGGCAGCTCACGACCTGGGTGCACAGTGTACATAACAAAAGAGGGGGTAAGGGGAGAACAAAGAAACCAAAACAAGAAAGAACATATAACCAGAGCAAAACATGAAGAAAAGAGACAAAAAGAAAACTTAGAACTAGAAAACCTAGATGAGACTAAGAAGAGACATTGTAATTGTCTCAATCTCAACGATGGTGAGGCAAAAAGATCGCAGAGCAAACCAACAGTAGCTTGTAGCAAGGGCTGCCTCATAGAGTGACAGCAGCAGCTACTAAAGAGGTAAGCAACTTGAGACCAGCATACAGAAGACCTTGTAAAACCTCTTCGCTCTTGTATCTTTGATCGATCACTGAGCAAGTTGATGCAAAGAGAGAAAGGAGGGAGATGTAAACATTGTAGACCCTCTCCTTGCTTCTTCCATCCTAAGGAAGATCACAAAGCAAGCAGATGTAGGTGAGAAAGAGGGATACTGCAATGAGAAAGAGGGGAGGGGCGTAGGTAATAAGAGTGTGAAAGGAAAGTATATATTGTCTACCAGGAAATATGTAAGGTGCATATTGTAATCAATGTATTTTATGGTAAGTCTGGGTATAGTATATTTGTTTGTGATTTAGTTTCTATTATTGTCATCTATATTTGTCTATATGAGACAAGCTTGTATATTCATACAGTCAATGGACACTGAGTCTCTTCAGAGAAACCTGAGACTCTTCACATGGTATCAGAGCAAGGTTCATATTCGTTGTGCCCATTCCTCGTCCCTGAAGTATCGTCGCCGATTTTCAAGACAAGTCTCTTGCTTACCCAGTTGGTGCATTTTTTTCCTTGGGTCATAGACCCTCAACCTCAGATCTGAGCTCACACCTCAGATCTGAGCTCTCTGTTGAGTCGTGTTTCGCCTCTCTGCTGAGTCATGTTTCGCCTCTCTGCTGAGTCATGTTTCGTCTCTCTGATCTGTCTCTCTGCCGAGTCGTTTTCGACCCTCTGATCTGTCTTTCTTTCTGGGATGCTTTCTCAGTAATTTCTCAAATCCACTGTCTCTTTGGGATTATCTGCATTTTTTCTCTCTCTACCTCTCTGCATCTGCTAAAACCCATTGCCATGTTTTTCCTTTGCACCGTCTTACAAAAGGTGGTAGTTTTGTTTTTACATTGTGTCAACCTAAATGCAAAAGTAGGAGAGACTTTTGTAAAAAGTTTTTTTTTAACTTGACAGACCATATTGTTCTCTTTACCTTGAAGGACCTTATTGTGCTACATCAGACCTTGGGTTTCTCTTCACCTTTTTCTAAAGGGGCTTTTGTGCTTAGTTTAGGTTTATGTTATGGTAAGGGGTTATGATATTAGATCTATGGTGTTCTAGGTCTATATGTGAATGTGAGTGCTTTGTTATGGTAAGGGGTTATGATATTAGATCTATGGTGTTCTAGGTCTATATGTGAATGTGAGTGCTTTGTTCATCTCACTGCTTTACCTTTTTTTCTTTACCTTTTGGCTCTTTCATGTAGAGTTTTACATTGAAAGAAAGTTACATGTAGAAGCATTATATTTTTGTCAAAAACAATAAAAAACAAAAATCCCTCTGAAAATTTGTCAAAAAAAAAGTAGTTTTTCTGAGTTCATCTTCGCATTGTCTATTCTTATTTGTATGATCGAGTTTGTTTGTTTTGTTACTCGATCATGTCTATTCTGGTCTGTGAGCTGCTAAATCCGTCTCGGATCCACACCGAATTCTGTTGGCTCTTCCAAGAGCCATTTTGTTCTCTCAGCTGTCTCACCTGTTTTGTCTGGAGTTTTTGTTTGATTGGTCGAGCCTACTTTGATATGGCCCTTCGTTCCTGAGGCCATATGTTCTTGACGCTTGTTGATCTACCGCGGCTTTCTGTGCTTATTGATCAAGCAATCTAAGCATAGAAACCACTACATCTACTGGTCATGCTATGCACCTAAAGATCCAACTGCTCATTTATGCAATTAGTGTTCAACTTCAAACTCCAGCTGCTCTATCTCATATCATCTTGAGTCTGAGGGGGAGTGTGACAGGAAAATACATATTTTCTATCAGGTAATATGGAAGGTGCATATTATAATCAGTGTATTTTATAGTAAGTCTGGGTATAGTATATGTGTTTGTGATTTAGTTTCTATTATTGTCATATGTATTTGTCTATATAAGACAAGCTTGTATATTCATACAGTCAATGGACATTGAGTCTCTTCACAGAAACTTGAGACTCTTCACAAAGAGGAGGGGATGACCCCAGAAAAGAACAATAAAGAGAGGAGAGATTTGCGTGGTTGAAAAAGTAGGAAGAGAGAGGAGGAGAGAAAGTTGAGAAGAGGTGAGTGGGAAATGATTGGTGAGGGAGCAGAACGGGGGATGAAGAGAAAAACATAATGGCAAAGAAGAAATAGAGACAGGGAACTAAAGGTTAAGGGATAAGATCATGAGGAAGAGAATAGGGGCAAAGGAGTGAAGACATGAGAAGAGAAAGATGAGAAAGAGGGGTAGAAGTGAAGAGAAACATGGGAGGAAAGAAAAAAAAGAGAGAAAGCCAGAAGAAGTATAGAAGCGGGGGGGAGGAGGGCATTCCAGAGCCCCTCAAACTAACGTAGAGAGGTGTACACATTTTGGGGAATGTTTTTTTTCTCAGAGGGACAAAAAAGCTAAAGGCCGGGGGGGGTGGGGGTGTGGTTTGGAGGAGGAAAGAGCAAATAGAGAGATGGGGGAGAAAAGAGCAGAAGGGAGATCAAAAAGCATGAAGCAAAGGGGGTGCACCAGAAAGGTTTCAGGCGCCCTCTTTCGCAAGTCTATCAGCCTCACAGTTGGCTTCTCGGGGGATATGATTGAAGGAAATCTGAGGCAATGAGCTCAAAAAGAAAATTTCCTCAAACTTTTGGTGAAGGTGCCAAGGGGCTGTGAGGAATGGGTTGCCCACGAGACTGTATTGCTTGAATCAGACTCCACAATTAGGCCTGCAATGGTCTTAGGTCTTCCCTTAGAGCCACTGCTTCAGCTGCAGTGGAATCAGTTATTCCAATATACCCTGAGAAAGATAGTAGAATACCATCTGAATTTGCTACTGTGCCTCCATATCCTGATGGGCCAGGGTTCCCTAAAGAGGAACTATCAATATTAAGTTTTAAGAAACCAGGGGAGGGGGTGGACCATCTCATTCGACTAGCGACAACTGGGGATGAGACAGCCAGCAGAGAATTCCAGTTATTTAGATAGCAGTCAATGGGAAAGTTAGCAAGGATAGTCTTAGACTAGTAGGAGATGAGGGAGGTAACAGAGTTGAAGATAGAGGTATCTGACCTTCCCCTAAAGGTCCTGGGGTTCCTTTCCAACCATGTGACCCAGAGAAGAGCAACCACAGAGATCTGCCACAGCTTCCAGCCAAGTCGGGGAAAAGGCGGGGTGAGAAGGGTGGAGAAAAGGCTATGGACTGAGGGGGGGTAACCCGTTGAATGTCAAAGAGATTCAAAAGTGAGGACCATAATGCTGAGGCTGTAGGACTGTAAAAAGAGGTGAGGGTTGGATTCCTCCTCTTGAAGGCACATTATACATCTATCATGTAAAGGTAAGCCACGCCTCTGAATTTGGTCAAGGGTAAGGGTTTTACCTTGGAGAAGGACCCCTACAAAAGCTTGTAATTTGTGAGGCACTGGCAAGGACCAATATTTATTCAAAATGGGAGAGGGGTTTAGATTTGGAAGCAATTCCGAATAGAAAGATGAGACTGAGAACATGCCAGAAGGGTTTGGTGACCACAGCAAGGTATATTGTAGTAATAATATATAATATAATACGATATATATTGTAGTAATATTATATATTATATTATACTAATATACATTATCTAATGTTATATAAATAGTATAATATAAAATAATATATTAGTTATATAAAATAGTATTTATATATTAGAGTACTGATACTATGAGACCCTCCCACACCCATGTGAGTAGGACCCCAAAGGGTTACCATTAAATTTTGACACAGATCTCTAAGTAAGTTAATAACTAACTAACCTACTACCTACCACCGTACCCACCACCCTACTAGTGATTAATTATTTACTTAGTATATCTGTGTCAAATTTAATGGTGATCCTTTGGGTTCCTACTCACATGGGTGTGGGAGGGTCTCATAGTGTCATTACTCTATATATTATNTATTAAATATTATTAAATTTTAATTTATCTATTAAATATTATTTAATACATAAATAAAATATTATATAATATATTATATTGTAAATAGTGAATGGCGAATAGTGCTTCCGCATGTGAAAATGAAAGCACGGGAATGTTTCCCCACCTCAAGAGGTGAGGTTTTGTTTTACTATGTATTAGACCATTTCATAGTAAAATGTTTTACCATGAGATTTATTTGCATATGCATTACTTACCAAACAAATGTATCAAATGCAATTTTCATGTGAAAACATTTACGCATGAACCAAACAAAGCCCTTAGTCTTTGTCTTTGGTTCATAAGAGTTCAACTATTATCTTTAGAAAGTAGAACTTATTGCCCTGAACGAAATAATTATATAATTCCAATGAGTACAAGCATGAAAGAAAAAGCAATAGGAGGCAAAGATCCATTTACGCTCAGTTTGGAGTAGACACATATGTGGAATAAGACTAGTATACATTTGGGGAAAATCTTATTGAACAAAAATTTGCCAAATCAATACATCCAAAAGATTACCGGAATACGTGGGACAAAAGTAAATCTTAATGAATAGAAACATTGCCAAATCAATACATCCAGAAGATTACTGGAATACGTGGGACAAAAGTCCTAAAATGGCTTGCATATCGGAAGCCTCTACATGATCGCTCTTCATTCAACACCCAGGATTCCTATAGCTTGTAGTAAGTAATAAAATATGACTAAAACTATTGAGGTTAGAAAGTGATATTCCTCATCCACACAGATTTCCAGTGGTCATGAAGATTACACTATACATTAATCACTGGCCAATTATTGATGACAAGAATAAAAGATCTCAGCAGCATTCATCAAATGTGAGGAGAATCATGATTTGAATCATAATAACATTAGATACAAAATTCTCCAAATCTTCGGGCCATGCAATGGTGATCTGATAGAGAACCAGTCAAAGGTGATTAGAGTGAAAGAACCATTCAAACATGATCAGAGTGAAAGATCTAAGGCAAAAAAAATCAATTGTGAAGAACATTCGAGATTTGAATCAATGGTAATGGCAAAAAAAGAGCAAACACTGCCGAAAAAATATAAGAGGTTGCGATCTTTAACCTTGTAACTCGTTCTCCTGGTGAAAAGTTGCCATGTTGAATGCCAACCAAGCAAAACAGCAACACCAGACAAGCAAAAAATCTGGATAGATCGATACAGGTATAAGACATCCATCTTAAAAGTAAGGGTGAAAGAAGAAGGTACAAAGATGATAATCACTCACATTTCCAAGTGCCAGCAAGCCCATGTCAAAGAAGAGAATAACACCAAGAAATGTGAATGTGATGCCAAATCCTATAAGCCCAATGCCAATTTCTGTTTCATTTTCCAAGATGAAATTTATTATGACTAAAAGACTACATACTTCCCATGGAAGGGAGGCAACAGAAATAATATAAAGTAAAATCATGCTCAAATGTTTTCAACAGTAAACCAAAAACAGGGGTAATGTAACTGATGCTAACCAAAAAATAAAGAACATTCACAAAGATAAATTTAGAGCAGAATATATGAAAGAGGCTTAAGATGCTTTGGAGTTCAGAGAGAAGCAGGCACTTGATCAACAGCGATGAGATTACAAATTGTGTACCTGTGTGCTACATCTTCCCTTGAAAAACAAAGAAGAGATTACAAATGGGGTACCTGGGTATTCTGGTGCTTTTTTGATAACCCAGATTTTGAAAAGAATTCAAATATGGCAAACAGAGGTCAAAACCAAGGCCAAAATGCTCAAATAGAGGTCAAAATGGCCCAAACCGAGGTCAAAATTTAAAAGAACCTCTAAACATCTAAAATATGGCAAAAGGCTATGAATTCAGCCCTATTTGAACAATAAGGTCAATAGAAAAAGCTGAAGAGATTAATCCCCAGTAATGGGTGGATCAAACCCGCAAACATAGGCCATACTGGCTCAAAAGGCCTATAGCACTGTCAAAAAGAAAGCCTTATAGCAGTCAAAATATATAAGGGGTCTTTGGCCATCTAAGACATGGCAAAACCCTGTGAATTCAACCTTATTTAACCAATAAGGTCGCTAGAGAAGGTTGAGGAGATAAAAGACCCAACTTGCAATGGATCAAGATCAAAACAAAGTCATTAAGGCCCCGCTGACCCAGACCATGGTCAAAACTTGGCTCAACATGTCAGATCATGGTCCAAAGTTGATTTGGCCCTATTGAACAGATTTTAGGGTGCAAAACTCTAAAATAAGCATAAAGTGGGTTAAGTGACCAAGGGAAGGAAATGGTGAAGAAACTATTCTATCAAGATTATGCAGGTGTGCTGGTCCGGCAAGGCTTATTGCCTTGGCATTTTGAGTGGCTGGAGCCCGAAGACACCCTCTCGAGGGATTGGCCTGGCTGCTGTCTTCCTGAATTATCATCCACTTGGCGGCAAGCCTACAAGTTGGCCTGCGTGGCAGAGACATGTCTTGGACTTCACTGGACCTACCAGCTCGTTTGTTCACATGGTGATATGCGCTATATCCTGACCCGAAAGAGCATCATTCTAAAGATCCGAGTTTCAAAACCTGAAATAAAGTCTTAAGGGACGGAGCCCTATATGAGCCTTTGGCACCCAGAACTCTAAGGTATACACTAGAAACTTGGGCTTTGGGCTTAGAGGATGTCGATGGTGCACGGACCTTATGATGGGCACGGGCCGAAATCGCTGCAATGGGAGAGCTGCCAGTAGAGGATGAAGCCACTAAAGGGGAGGAAGGAAGGACCTCCGGCTGCATGTACCTCGAAGTCATTAGTGTGAACACCCTTCGAATGAACCGAGGACCATGACTGTTCTAGAAAACACATGTTGTGAGGGATTGGGTTTTCAGTACACGTGCACTTGAAGTAGAGACCTGGGCAGAGGTTGAAGCTTCTTTCTTGATATAGAAAAACCATTGTATAGGAGGGGGAGACCATTGAGGTCATGTCTTAGGTTTCTTGATGTAGGAAAACTGATGTGGAATAGAAACAACAGTAATTCCAGCCAATGACACACAACAAGTATAAGAAACCTAGGGTGTCTTCCTCAAACCTACCTGAGTCTTCGAAAGCCTAGAGCTTTTCTTTTTCTTTCTCATAAACAAACCACATGAATGAGCCCTCTAGGTCTCATGCACCACTTTTATTATCATCACCATCGAAGCCTTTTTCCAACTATTTGGGGTCAGCAATACGAATCTTAGAGAGGCTACAAGTCCCCATATCTTTTCTCAATACTCACAACCATGTCCTTTTGGGCCTACTTTTTGCCATTTTTGAGCCTTCTACTTGAACCAACTCACAACTCCTAATAGGTGCTTGTACTAGGTCTGCGAACATGCCCAGTCCACCTAAGTCTACGTTCACTCATCTTATCACCTATTGGATCCACACCTAAGTGCTCCCGAATGTATTCATTTCGAAATCTATCCCTTCTTGTCTTGCCGCTTATCCGTCTCAACATCCTCATCTCAGCTACACATCCTATAGGTATGTTGTTTTTTGACCGCCCAACATTCTGTCCCATAAAGCAACGTTGGTCTCCCAGCTGTCCTATAAAACTTCCCCTTCAGCTTCATTGGTATGTGGCGATCACGTAAAACTCCGGTTGCACATCTCCACTTTGCCCACCTAACTCTAATTCTAGGTGCGACATCTTCCTCAATATCTCCAATATTGTGAATTATCGACTCAAGATATCGAAAGTGCGCTCTTTTTGGTATTTCTTGGCCATTAATCCTAACGACTTCCTCTTCTTTACTCCTATTGTTATTAAATTTGCATTATATATACTTTGTCTTAGTCTGGCACAGCAGCAAAAAGCAGCAAAAATGGGCCCACATATGTCTCTTGTGTTGAATACTCCTCATATTTTCTCTTTGTAATCTTTGCGAACTTCCTATAAACACAGATCAAAGGTGTTTTCGCCTAAAAACATGTCTGATGTAAATAAACAGGGCATCTATGGGTGCCCTGAAACTCTTGTTCTCGGGAAATATAAAGCTCCTTAGTGGGCATGATTTGGATGCCTCATTTGTATCTATACCCAGAATTTTATTGTTCTGGTTCATGTGTTCGTTTTGACACAAACACTAGGATCAGCTGAACCTGTGGAAATACCATTGAAGGATGTTAAGCCAGGTGACCCAGAATGGGGATGATCATTGATGATGTGAAGGAACCAAACAAAAGGAAATTTTTGAAAGAGCAACTGCACAGGAAAACAGCTTGCTCCCAACAGCTGGAGGTTCACATGTTAGTTTATGTCCATCTCTAGCACAGATCCTAGAGAAATCTTATGCTCAAACAGTTGCAGGGTAAACAGTACCTATGTGGTCTAATAGTAGTGGCATTAAGATGGATAGAGAAGATATCTCTCATGCTTGGCAATGACATCTCTCTCATCCTTCTGTTCTCTCTGCTCTCTACCTCAACCTCCTATTTTATATGCCTCTGTTGGTATGTGCTCTTTAAGTTGGAGTACTTCATTCCTATAAATTTAAGGTCACTATCAAGAAAAGTGAACTGACGATGTATTTCACATAAAATTCCCCACACCATCCATATTTAATTTATTAAAAGAGATAAAATCAATGTTGTGATCTTCACTTCGCTTTGGCCAAAGGGCCGGAGACTTTGGCAGGGCAAGACAAAGGAAAGCAAAGAGTAGTATAGCTTTTTCTTAAGGAAACTGTGTGCTCTTGCGTGGTAATGCAGTAGATAGCCTAGTCCAGAAATCATGCACAATATACAAAAAATCCTGATGTGGCTCCATCCAAATTCATCCAAAAAAACAATGTAGCATGCTGAACAAAAGTAACTAGTGAAATAAGAAATATCCAGTAAGCATAACTATGACAGAGAAGACTTCACTTTTCTGCTCATTGATTTCATATGCCATCCTAGAAACCAATTTGTCAAGCCACAAATACAATCAGCTTCAAGAAACCTGAAATTATAACAAAGTTAGTGCCAGTATGATTCTTCGCATGAAACTAGTATAATACTTAAGAATATGATTGAGGATATGTTGAGAAATATGAATAGACACTAATTTTGCTCAACAGAAATAAGTTTACGAGACCATACACTTACAAACTCAATTGAACGGCCAGCTAAGGAGTAGAATGAGAAAATAGGCACAGAGATACCGAAAGTAAGACCTCGATGGCCATCGCACTTGCGCATGTGACAAATGATTTGATATTGGAACAAGTAAGATCCTCTAAAGAGAGATCCACTTATGCTTAACATTTATACTGGTAATTAAAGTAATTGTAGTCAACTAGACAGGAAACAAGAAATAGATCATGAAATACCATCTGAGCTAATATTGAAGAAAGACAAAACCAAATTTACCTGATTCAATAATATGTTGATCAATGACAATGTTCAGAAGCCTAACAATTGAGTAACTTAGTAGTTATGATTGAAAAATACCAACTTAAACTCCATTTCTAAACCAAAAAGACAATTTCCAAGTTCTATAAAGATATTTCACTAATTTATATATAATATAATAAGTAAAATATTAACACATCTGTGAAGCTTATGGACCAAAAAAATTTATCTAGGATCACAAATCTGACTAGTTAAGATGTATATGTCAGCTGCAAGTTGCAAAACCAGATACATATATCTATAGGAGCTATTAGGCCCATAGCTATAAGAATGGGGGTTCATTACTTGCTAGGAGTTCCCCAGCTTGGGAGCGCCAGTAATAAATATATAAAAATTGAGAAATTTAAAAACCAAAAGATTAATCACAAATTTATATATCATATTTAAATGCAAAATTGAAATATTAGGAACATTTTATTATAGCTAATAACAAATCCTCAGAAAAGACTTGAGGGTGATAACTATTATTTATTCACTTGAGTCTTCTCATAAATATGCTACAGATATTTATTTAATCATGATACAAGTGATAATATAGGATAATATTTCAGTCAAAGCATATTCAAGTCCTGCCATTTTCTTCATATATCCACCTTCATCTAAGAACAGACAGAAAACAAGAATAGCATGGAGGGAGCACAGATAAAAATATAAATATAGGGAGAGATGAGAGAGATATCAATTGGAGAGATGAGAGAGATATCATTCTCTCTCGCTAAAAAGATGACATCAAAATTCTATAACTTGTGACAAAAGTTGGCCTACCATAATGCTTACTTGTTTATAGATATGCATTTATGGCTATACTTTTTATGGATATGCACTTATTGCTTTTTTCTTTTAAAAATGTAAACAATATGGATGTGTTAACTTGTTGATCGACTCCTATTGGGTTCCCGAGAAAAAATTTATGCGTTAAAAAGGTCTCAGGTTTATTCGCTGAGAAGCAAGCATCGTCTTCCCGAGGTGGGAACGCCACCCATATAAGGACATCTTGGTAACTAAGATTAGGCCTAGTATAATTATGTAATCACATATCAGCCAAATTAATTCATTTCATAGTCAATTAGATAGAGTAAGAGGAACACACTTACACATCTTTTTGCAAAGTGCAAATTACACGATATCTAGGGCTACACAAAAATCCATTGGTCAATTATCAATAAACCAACATGTGTAATTATGAGAAGTCACACATATTGATGTATCGTCTATTTGTCACTTGTAAACCCTGGTACCTTTGCGTACTCAACTCAAAACAATTATTTACACCTTACTATTATTTGTTTCTCATTTACTAAATGAATATAAGGGTTAAGCCTCATTGCTTTGCGCATGATGAAAATTATTCTACATCGAGAGATCATTCATAATTTATTATTGCTAAGCAAGGCTTCTATGGCTCAAAAAACACAAAAGCAACAATCCAGAGTGTTGATTTCAGTTGTGACATCAAATTCATCACAAAAAAAGTCATACCAAACAGCATAACAAACATGCAATTCAATTTCAACGACCATAAAAACTCCATCTGAGAAGGGACTTTGATGTTACAAGGACACCGATACGAGAATCGGTGTCTAATGCCGATTTGAAGTATTCAACCCACCAACTTATATTTTGCCAACTCTAGTACAATAAACCACAAAAGCCTTACATGCCATACGTGTTACAATATAACAAATTTGTGCTTCAATAATAAAACTCACTTAAAACCTAAAAAATTGTTCCCAAGACACATATATGTCCAAATCATAAGACACATGCACCCACATTGTAAGGGACAAACATGCCTTACTAGGCAGACATGTGGCTCACAAAAATGGACATGAGTGTCATGTTGGTTCCAGAGAACAAATATTTTTCCATGTGCAACATGGATTTCCCATGTCTATATGTGCGTCATGCATCTTGACACACATGTCTAGTGCATTGGAATGTCGGATTCTTCTAAATGTAAGTGACAGAAGTGTTTTTGTTACATAGGGAACACAATGATGTGCAAGTCAACCACTACAAAGGCCATGGCTCCTCGCGAAACTTAAGTCATTGCATAGAATCAATATTTCAGGACTCGGCATTCTGCTAGGACTCAACCAAATTACTCGACCTTGGCCATGCGCCGAGTATATACGTACACCTCTTGGATTTAGGGAGATGTATAGTACTCACCTCCTAGTACACCACTACACGGCCTAGTAGTGTTGAACTCAGCTGAGTAGATGCAAGCTCGGGCAACCAGCCTGAGTCAGGTTCGATTCCCAATTTATTGAGGCTATGCAATGCAAAGCATCTTTTGCAGCTTTGGAGCTGCTTTTTTTTTTGTTTGACTTGGCAACAATTCATTAAATGAATTATTGTGGAGCCTATGTCAGACCTTGTTGGATGACAAATCAATCAATTTAGCTGTTAATTCAGAATTTTACATGGTTTTCATCCAAAAACCTGGCTTTCTTGGTACATCCACCATTAGTGGGATATCTCCATCATTTTTCAGGCAAAAAACTTGAAATCTAATTCATTATGAAGCTCATTCAGTCCACCACAATATCCCAACATTGATTTGTCTTCTTAAATGCCCCATTGCGAAAGATCTGGCCTGAAATTAGTAAGTTTTGCTTAAGTACTATTAATCTGTGAAGAACCACCGGATCCACCTTTTTTATATACCCTCTAATCTTTTTCGGCTAAAATCCTCGAAATCGAACTCATTTTGAAGCTCATTCAATCGTCCACAATATCCCCACGTTGATTTGTTGAATCAAAGGCCTTACTATGAGATATCTGGCCCAAAATGGGTTAGTTTTGTTGAAGAACTACTAATCTATGAAGAATCCTAGCCCAACCCACCTTTTTTATCTACTCTCTAATTTTTAAGCCAAAATCCTTGAAATTTGATTCATTTTGAAGCTCATTCAGTCCATAATATCTCTATATTGATTTGTTGTATTAAAAGTCCATTATGAGAGATCTGGTCCAAAATGAGTCGGTTTTGTTGAAGATAGTCTATGAAGATCCCTAGCCCAATCCGCCTTCTTGATTTATTTTTCTAATTTTTTAAGACAAAATCCTTGAAATTTAATTCATTTTGAAGCTCATTCATTCCTCCACGTTATCCCCACATGTATTTTTTGGATTAAAGGCCCTATTGTGAGAGATCTAGCTCGAAATGGGTCGGTTTTATTTTTAAAAAAAAATCAATTTTTTGGGGTTTTGACTTTTGGGGGTTTGAAGCTAGTCCAAGATAATAGGATTTGCTTAGCCAACACGGAAAGTGAGAACTCCAAAAGGTCGGAGTATGGAGCTAGTGGATACAATGAGGTGAAGGAGAGTTAACATGGCTTGCCTAAAGAAGACTAAGTGGAAAGGTAAAAAAGCTAAATAAATTGGTGAATATAAATTTTGGTATATATGAAAGGATAATAATATAAATGACATAGAGATAATAATAGATAAAAATTTAAAGGATAAAGTAGTAGATGTTAAGAGAGTAGGTGATAGGCTCCTATCAATTAAGCTTGTGTTAGGGGAGCAGATAAGTAATGTAAGCTTATGCAGCACTGGTAGAACTAGAGGATAGTATTAAAAAACAATTTTGGGAGGACACGGATAGACTAGTCTAAGGGATACCAAATGGAGAGAGGATTTCTTTAGAAAGGGACTTAAATGGTCATAGAGGAAAAGATAGTAGAGGATATGAAAGCACAGATGAAGGATAAGATTTGGGGAGAGAAATGAGATGAGTGACGCTATCTAAAGTGAAGAAGCTTTGAGAAAGATGAAGACATGAAAGGCTTTAGGATCAGATGGTATCTTAATAGAAGTTTGGAAGTGCATGGGAGAGATTGGTATAATTTGGTTGACCAAGCTGTACAACAAGATGGTGAAAACAAAAACAAAAAAATGTCAGATGAATGGAGAAAAAGTACTATTGCACCTATTGTACAAACTACTGAAGGATCAAACTTAGGAGCCAAACTGTGAAGCCGTGGTAGAGAGTGATCGAGCAAAATCTAAGACATGAAACAAATGTATCAAAAAATAAATTCGTTTTTATGTCAGGGAGGTCAACCATTGATGCTATTTTCCTACTTAGGCAATTGATTGAGAAGTTTGAGGAGAAGAGAAAAGACCTCCATATGGTCTTTATGGATACAAAATAAGCATACAATAAGGTACATAAAGAGTTATTTCGGTGTGCATTGGAAAAAAAAGGGGCCTTTAGGGGCTATATCAACATGGTGAGAGATATGTATGAGGGAGCATTAACTATTGCAAAGACAACTAGTGGAGAAACAAGTGAGTTTTCAGTAACAATAGGTCTATATCAAGGATCAATGTTAAGCACATACCTCTTTAATTTGTTTATGGATGAGTTAACTAGGCATTTACAGGACGAGCTACTGTGTTGTATGTTGTTCATAGATGACATAGTTTTGACTAATGAGACTAAAGACGGCATTAATGCAAAGTTAGAACTTTTGATGCAAGAGAAGATACCTCTTATTTTCTCTTATTGAACTTTAAGGATGTGTTTTTGGAATTTTC